AGGGAGGACTTCTAGAAGGCGGAGCTGGGAGACCAAGGAGAGGGATGGGGAAGGGTTTTCTCTCAGTACAGGGAGGACCTGCTGGAGGAGGGGGCTGCATCTGCAGTGCTGGATTTCAGAATGCTGACTGCTGTATGTCTCTCTTATTCTTTCCCTTTTTAAATGGGAATGTTTATTGCAGTCTCCAACTTTGCTATTGTGTGTTTTATATTTGTATGGTGTTGGGGGGGGGGGATGACTGTATAGAAAAAAAAATGGAGGCAATTGGAAAAGTGCATAATCTCCCATTACATCTGCCTGTATCTGTGCCTGTAACCTCAGCTTTTCTTCTTATTTCCATAGAGGAAGTCTCTGTGGTCCTTGCCAAGCCCCAAACCCTCCTTTTCTGCACTACATCCCATCTCTTCTCGCCTATGCAGGGACTTCTGTCCAGCAAATCTCCCTCTCCCTCTAAGCCTTCATTAGCCTTTGCCCCTCTATTGGATTTTTCCCATCAGCATACTTAACAGTGAGGTTTCTCTCTCTTCAGAATATATACCTTGACTTCTTGTAGCCAATACATCTCGCTTATCTATACGGTGAATGTTCCAGAAAGAGTTATCTAAACTCTCTGCCTCCCATTTTCCTCCCTTTTGCATTCTTGAATCTGTTCTAGTCAGGGTTTCGCCCCCACCATTCCTCCAAACACTGTCCTATCAAGATCAACAAAGGTAAATCCAGTGGCTGTCTCTCACCTCCTCTCACTGGACGCTAGTGATGACTCTCCTGGAAGCATCTTCATTTGGCTTGCAGGGCATCACTGGCTTTTGGTTTTTCTCTTACCTCACTGGCTTCCTCTTCTCCATTTCCTTTTCTTTTTCCTCCATTTCTCTTTAATGTTGTTCCCATGTTTAGTCCTGGAATTTTCTATCTACATTTATTCCCTTCGTAATCTTACCCAGTGCGTGAATTTAATGACCACTTATACTTTGATGATTCCCAAATTTATACTTCTCAGGTTTATATATTCTATAATGTTTGAGATTTTTATAATCCAAATGCTTACTTCATATAGATGGCCACTTGGAAGTCTAGTAGGTATTTCAACTTTAACTTGCCCCAAATCAAGCTCTTGATCTCCAAATTAAGCTCCTCTCATAGCCTTCTCCATGTCAATAAATGGCAATATTCTAGCAACCTAGGCAATCTTTTAGCTTCTCAGGCCAAAAACTTTGGTGACAACCTTGATTCTGGTAAAAAAGCTTTGTATTTCTTCTAACATTTTCACTGTTGAAAGTTTTGTCTATTGGCTCGGCACCTATGCTCAGCAGCTAGGGTGCCAGCCACATGCACCGGAGATAGCGGGTTCGAATCCAGCTGGGGTCTGCCCAACAACAATGAAAACTACAACCAAAAAATATTCAGGTGTTGCGGCAGGCGCCTGTGGTCCCAGCTACTTCGGAGGCTGAGGCAAGAGAATTGCTTTTTGAGGTTGCTGTGAGCTGTGATGCCATAGCACTCTACTTTTTTTTTTTTCCTTGAGACAGGCTCTTACTCTGTCACCTGGGTGAGAGTTCAGTGGTGTAATCATAGATCACTGCAACCTCAAACTCCTGGACTTAAGCAATCCTCCTGCCTCTGCCTCCTGGGTAGCTGGGGCGATAGGTGTCCAGCACCATGCCTGGCTGTATACATTTTTCATGCCAAAATTGGAGTGAACTTGAATGTCCATTAGCAAGAGGATGATTAAATAGATTATGGGATGTCATTTTAAGCAACTGTTATGACATATGTATTCCTAAAGGTCACCAAGCTATGCACAATTACACAATAATAACCACAGGACTTTTGGGGACATGGGATTAGGGATTTGACACTCAAAAATTTTATCAGTTTTTATCGGTGACATAGCTCAGCGCCTGTAGCTCAGCCACCAG